CGTACAAGCAGAAACTTAAACAGGCAAGAAAATTCCAAAATCGAAATCAAAATCGGGGAATGGGGAGAGGGACCTGACGGTAATTGGGAGCGCCTTCGATCTGAGGAGACATACGCTTGTTCTGACAACCCGGAAAATGGTCGCTCTTGAGAATCGTCTTCTTCCCAAGTACCGATCCATCTCTCAGCTTCATCACCTGCTCTGGCTCTTTCGGTATCGACATCTCTCATCCAATCAACTTCCGCACGCACTTTTCACCGCACAGCTTCAAAAAACTCACAGATTCGATGCAAAAATTAAGAGTAATCCCCTCTTGTTCCAAATACTACGAACCCCTCCACTCACTCTTAAACTCTTCTCCAATCCGATAAAACGGCAAAATCCAGCGCCAATGTGGAAGGCAGGAATATTCTTAATTGATTCGCAGACAACAATCTCAGGGAATGAGATATTTCCTCGCGCGAGAAAAAAAGAAAAGAAGCAAAATTTCAAGTTGGGGATTGATGAAGAAAACGGATAAGGTCGCGAGAAATGAAACGAATCGAATTAACGCGGAGGATAATTCCAACAGACAAAGCGGAGAATAAGAGAGAAGAGCTCACACGCTAAATTCTTAAACTAAACTTTTTTTAACTTCAAGGGATGTGTATATAACTATATATATACACACACGGAGATTAGAATTAGATTAATTAGTTGATGAAAATTAGTAATATAAATTAACAATAGAACTTTTAATTTTTAAATGGCATAACGAGAAAACTATCTAGAAGGTTTCGGTTTGGTTTTTTTGGTTTATTGTAATAAATGACTACAAATTTATTTTCTTTAAATTGTTTTTAAATTCTTTTTTTAGCTTGAATTCGGTTATGGTGTTCTAGTATTACAGAACTAAAACAAATATGTTAAACTAAATGAATATGTAAGTTCTAAGTTAAATTTTTTTGTTTTGCTTAGATCGGAAACAGTTTTTCCGGATTCAACACGTTTAAAAGCTTGAAGCCAACACAAAGAGATAGCAAAAAAAAAAAGAGATAGCAAGAAATAAGTTTAGTTGTGTTGGTAAAATAAAGTAAACTTAATAGAATGCATAAAATAATCTTTAGTACTCCGTAATAAAGTAGCCTCCGAAGAAGAAGAAGAATTACAAGAGTGGTCGGGTAAACAAATTTCTTTTAGCTGTGTGGGTCTTGCGTCACACAGGAACGTGAAAGGCGTGTCTTTTTCTTTTACGTTTTTATTTATAAATTGTCTAATCATTCCTTTTATTTTTAGAAACTAACATTTACTATTTTCTCAAGAAAACATAGTGTGGTACGATATCATTTGGGATTTTTTATTTTATTTTTTAATTTGATATCATCTTATAAGCTATAAATAATTTTTTGTTTTGTTAATATCAATGTTAGTCGTGGAAGCAACCTTGATTTCATATAGGTTGTTACGGTTTGTGTCTTTTATATACTTTGTAGATATGTCTTTTATAAAATCTAATCTGGTAGGATCGACATATAATTTAGTTATTGTCTTAATTCATTTAATTAGTTTCTTTAATTATCTAACTCTTTTCTTAAAAAAACAGGTTTAGTTATCTAACTTTCATTCACTCTTCTCCTATCAAGCTATCACCGCTTTTATTCGTCGTCTTGTCTTCGATATAGATATATATGACTTCTATTCGAACAAAATGAAGAAGTAAAAAAGATATCTGTGACTTCTAAAACTAAAAGTTACAATTGAATTTGTTGGGAAAAAAACGATAATAATATATTGACAGTGGAATATTCTTTTGGGATGCGACAATGGCAATCTCTCTCCCCACCATATATTTTTTTAGTTCACCGTATTCACATACAAAACAAATAAATCGAGTGTGAGAAGAACATACCTATCCATGGTCCAAGTTTGTGGCAAACATATACTACTGTATATTGTATTAGCATTTTAATACTTTATAATTTTAATTCAAGAAATTAAAATATATAATAGAAGAAAGGAAAGGGAAATATCTTCTTTATTTCTATAAAAACGTAAATATGTAAAATAGTTGGAAAATATAAATATGACGCGAACTGTTGGACGGCGAACACGTGCTCCGTAATTTTGGTCGTATGTTTCGAAAGTCTGTCAAATCATAAACAAGGATTTCTTTTATTATTAAAGACCTAAAACCATCTCCAATGATGAAAAATTTATAGAGATTTTCATCTTGTTTTTTAATATATTTTGTGTTACTTACATATATATATATTTGTGAGAGATTTTTAGTTTTGGAACCTGCATTGGTAGGTTCTTTAAATAAAATTTCTTTAGGTTCTCTAAACCCTAATCACACCCATTAAAAACCTTTGATTCAACATGCATTTATAATTGAGAAAGTGTAATCGGTGTCAAATCCAAAAAACCCAATTCATCTAATGATGAACCAAATCAGAAATTGTAAAAAAAACAAAAATTTTACCGGTAGCATCTAGTTCGCCATCGAACATTGTCTTCTACCCAAAAATCTTGCAAGCTTCATCGCTATAATTGAGAAAGAGAGATAAATGAAAGTGTTTATAATTGAGAAAGTGTAAACATGCATCAATGAGAGCATCGGATGGCCATCCAGGCTTCTCTTTTTTATTGTTTTGCCCTTGTTCCTAAACGAAGAAGAAGAGAAGAAGATTAAATAAAACCTTAAAGAAAATAAAAAAGAAAAAATAACTCTCAAACCAACTATATGAAGTCACGTCACAGTCTTTCATAGGTCTCTCAATTTCTTTCAAGAGAAACGGTTCTCCTTAATTAAACCATTTAATTTTTTTTTAAAGTATAATGGTCATCAGAACCCCTTAAGAGACCTGAATGGAGATGGTCTAAAGAAAATGTGGGGGTTCTGTTGCTTTGGTTGTTATAAAATCTTTTTGTAATTTTGTTCGTCTATAAAATCTCGTCTCGCCTTCCATTGACCAGTTGTCCAATTCCTATATTGGGATAAACGTATGACAAATTTTATAAGTATTTAAACGTCCATTGCATGAAAGTGATGATATTCCAAATTTAATAAGATATTGATATCTAGATAGATAAATAAATAAAACTGTCTATGATCTCAATAAACAACCATGTTTTATATGGTATAGAAATATTAGTACGTAGTACGTAAAATGAAAATGATATGTAAATTTTCGTATACGTATTACATACCCCTGTATTCCGTAACTAATATGATCAAATATAATTGACCATCTACACTAGTCTATAAACTCATAGACATTGATTATTGGCTATATAAAGTGGCAGGTCACACATATTTAATATCTTCTTAACTTATCATCACCTTATTAAAAATTTAAAACTATATTGGTAAACGACTCTTGTAACGCGTCGTGAGTTAAACATGATCAGATCCTTCGCTTTCGAAAATGAGTTCCCATTTGTTAAATGGTATTTATACGAATATATAAAGTACAAACACTATTATACAATGACATTTAAAACTGGTAAGAAAGTAAAGCAATAAACAAAGATGCTGAGCAAAAAAATAAAATAAAATAAAACAAAGACACGCGCATTGAACACGGTCTAAAGAAATACTTTTATACTCTATAGTCTTTTATCTATCAAACAAGTTTAAACAATTATTAAGTTGACAAAAACAATTATATTGATGTGCTTTGTAATTTAATAGTCCCCCAAATTGTATACATTGTTATACTAAATTACTGAAAGTTTTGTTCAGATAGTTAAATTAGTAATATAATTATTCTTAAAATTATTCTTACGAAAGTGACTAGATTTTTAATTAGTAAGATTACCAAAAAAAAAATGGATAAGAACCCAAACTGTCTTGATTTGAATATTAATATAATTTTTTTCCAATAGTAAAGACAACATGTCAACAACTTAAGTGTATGAAATATTATAATCACATGTTTATATAATTGTAACCTGTCAGATCACGTCTGGCTGATTGATGTTTTATTTTCAAATGCGATTCTTGTGGACTTTCAATATGTGGTTCACAAGCTTTTTGTCTTTCCCTTTTATTTAATCATCAACAAATATTTTTTTGTTGCTTTGCTCTAATGTTAATCTAGTCATGTATGTGGGTAGGTCATTAACAAATCTGTCATCAAACGAGGGATCGAGTAATCGGTGTTATTTAAATCTTTGTTGTATGAACTTGTTAAAATATCGATTTGTTTGTCATGCGATTTGGAAGGACTCTCTGAATGTTGATAAATTTCCCTTTAAAGGTATTATAGTATTTACGTGGCTATATGAAGCCAAAGTAGTTATACAATATCTGGGATTATATGGATGATTTTAACAGATTTTATCTAAACGATAGGAACCAAATATTCCTCTATTCCATCACTCTCTAGACTCTACCACAGGTATTTATTCTCGCATGTCAAAAGAAGTATCCTTCACAAATAAGCTTTGTCGTAATCATCTCTTCACAGAGGAAAGTACATAAATATACAAAAAATCGTCTATGCTTAGCAATATTTCATTTGTTGCCTCAAATCGGAGATTGGCATATGTTCTTTTTGAGTTTTTTTAGTCAGCCCAAATTTTTTAATACAGCTCTATATCTTCTACAAGATTAATATGAATTTTGATATTGTAAGCTCTTGTCAAGAAGAGATATCACTTGATTGAGGTTTGTAAATATATTGATTTGTATTTGTAGTCATAATACTTCTTATTAATTCAGATTCAAATTAGTTAAAGTCCGCAAATTTATGAAAAATGTACTTTCTCATTTTAGTAAAATGAAACATACATATGTATTAATAAAGGGAATATGCATATTAATCTTAACTTACTAAACTTACGAAAAAATTCGTTAATAAGGTATATTTATTTGTTGCCAAATAGGGTTATTTCAAAAAAAAATAATGTCACGGTCTACCTGTGATAGATTTTAAATGTTCAGGGCTTTATACGCAATTTCATGTTAATTTATTAACTAGCAATTCCTGTGTTTAATGTACCCAATTACCATCGCGCGAAATCGGTTATAGTACGGCGGCCGACCCGGTTCAACATTATGACCCGACCCGGTTGATTGGAGCAGACACAGATAACAATCCAGTCTGTATCGCCTCACAGAGGATTTGTATCGCCTCCTTTCTCAGTCCGTTTTGCGGAGCCGCAGAAGATGGCGACCGGTTTAGCGATGAATCGATGCTCAATTTCGTTAATTAGAACGGCCGATACTTTACTCAACCGGCCAACCGTCTCCGTCGTCAGGAGTTTGAAACTTAGTCGCCGGCTTATCGGAAACTGCTCGATGGCGACGGCCCCTTTTGTTGTGGCGGACGACGAGAAGTACGGAAACAAACAGGTTATCAGTCTCACTCCTCGCATTTACGACTATGTCCTCTCCAACGTTCGCGAGCCTAAGGTTTGTAACTCTTCCTCTGCTTTGGTTTTCGTCTTCCTTTTCTCAGGGTTTAAGGATTTTAGTTCTGATTTAGCTTCTTGCTTGATTCTGCTTTTAGATTCTTAGGAAACTTCGGGAAGAGACTGCCAAAATGCGAGGTAGTCAAATGCAGGTACTAATTTCCCCCAGGATTACGATTCTTTCTAATGGTTACAAAACTATGCTATTTGTTTTGAATCTGAATTAGTTTTTGTTGGTTTATTGGGGTGAACAAGATTTTAAGCTGGAAGAATGGACAATGCTATTTTTGTTACTGTCACGACCAAGCTAACTTTCTAGTAAATTACATTTGATATTTGGCTGCAGGTATCTCCTGATCAGGGCCAATTGCTTGCAATGCTTGTGCAGATTCTTGGAGCAGAAAAGTGTATTGAAGTCGGTGTTTACACGGTGTTAATCTTCTTCCAATGAGTTTCCTCAGCGTTGTTATGTTGGCTCAATTTAGTTCCTTGTGACAAAGGATGATAAGATTTTGTTTTCGACAGGGATATTCATCACTGGCCGTGGCGTTGGTTCTGCCGGAATCCGGATGTCTTGTTGCCTGTGAAAGGGATTCTAATTCTCTTGAAGTTGCTAAGCGGTACTATGAGCTTGCCGGAGTCTCTCACAAGGTGAGACCAAAAAAAATAAATCTTTCAATCATCTCAAAAAATTATGATGTTTTTCTTTTTGGCACGAAACATTGCTGTTTTATTCTTTTTCGTTTGCTGTGTTGTGACCGAATTATTGTATCTTATCTTGTAAATAGCAAACACTCTGTTTGTAAAAAAATTTCTCAATGTACATATGGCCTCTTTGAAACCCCTTATAACATGTGTTTTGCTCTGTTGTCGATTCATTACGAGCAACTGCATGATTCTTTGATTTGTTTACTCTAGTCAGGTTAATGTGAAACATGGTCTTGCAGCAGAATCATTGAAATCCATGATTCAGAACGGTGAAGGATCCAGGTTGATACAAGAGGTTTCTTTCATATTAGTGTCGAGGGTGTCTCTACTTGAAATTCATTCAAGCTTTTCGTATTTGCAGCTATGATTTTGCATTTGTCGATGCGGATAAGAGGATGTACCAGGACTACTTCGAATTGCTTCTTCAACTTGTAAGACGAAGATCATAAGGCTAGTCTCTTTTCCATAGGGTTAAAGTTAGCTTTAGCAGTTTGTATCTCTGTTGACGCAGGTCAGGGTTGGTGGACTCATTGTGATGGATAATGTTCTTTGGCACGGACGAGTTGCTGATCCTATGGTATGCTTCTTAACCATAAAAATGCTCCAAAAGATTCTCCAATGAGATGAAGACCACAATTTTATAACGATGAATTCCAACAGGTCAATGATGCAAAGACCATCAGCATTAGGAATTTCAACGAAAACTTAATGGCTGATGAACGCATAAGCATTAGTATGGTGAGTTCTTTTATTTTTTTGGATTCCATCGCTTTGTGTTTCCAGTACAACGAGCTCTTCCAAGCCCATGATTTTGATTTTTCACCCTTTTTTTCGCATCAGGTACCAATCGGTGATGGCATGACGATATGCCGCAAGAGATAATCATCCTCAAATAAACATTTGGATTCACAGTGAACCTTAAGCCAAGTCTTTTAAGCATAAGAGTACCGATGAAGCCAACATATATTTCAGGACATCACGGAAACGGTTCTTTTCTCTGGACATGATGCACAGTATAAACTTGGGAGGCCAACTACAAATTAGACTAATGGGCTTGTATAACTTCAAATTCTTAGATCTTTAATAGCAGAGTATCTTAAACCGGTACGAAATTTCCTTTTTTTCAATGTCGGTCAAAATAAATTGATGGACCGTCAAAACGAGGAAACCGAGAGATTGTCACTGTGCCCCCGTGGTACGAAACAGCGTGACGTTTGATGGTTTGGATTGAAAACTGCGCGTAGTTTTTGTTGTCTACTTGGCTCAGTGCGTGGGCCAGCTGTACCACCAATTCAAACAACACGGTTACGCTGACTCTGAGAAATCCCCAAATCTCCGCAAATTAGGGTTCATTCGTTCCTGACACTTGGAACGCTAATCGGAAATTTCTTCTCCCTTCGCTACGAAATTTCTTCGGAAGGATTAGTTTTCTAGAATCTCTCGAATCAATCAAATTCACGAGATGCCGTCGTTCACACTGAGCATTCCCTTACTTTTGCTGTGTTTCTGCTTGATCGGCTTACAAGCTGCGGATGATCTCCCGGACAAATCCGGCGGCGATGTTTGCCCCAGGGTTTCGGATCCGGGTGGGTGTCCAATAAATTGTTTCCGGGCGGATCCAGTTTGCGGAGCCGATGGAGTCACGTACTGGTGCGGTTGTCCCGACGCAGCGTGCCATGGCGCTCGTGTAGTCAAAACTGGGGCTTGCGACGCAGGTAACGCCGGAAGTGCTTCTGTTCCCGGCCAAGCTTTGTTATTGATTCATACTGTTTGGCTCTTCTTGCTCGGACTCTCTCTTCTCGTTGGTGTTTTCTGAGCTCCAGAGTTAATGGCGGATTAGAGAAGGAATTTACCCCAATTCGTTTGTCGCTTTTTTTCTTGTCATACTTTATAGAAAACATGTGTTTGAGATGATTCATGACTCTATAGATCACACGTAGAATGGTGTTTGTATGTGTAAGTTGAGTAGATTTTCTCTAATGGATTGCCTTGTTGTGTTATTGTTTTGCTTTGTGTGCTAAATCACGTCTTGGCTTATGATTATGCAATTATACCTCAACACCATCAATTTCCTTTTTTTGTTTCCTTTAAAGGATGAATCTTGGGATTTCTTTTTCGTTTGATTTTTCCTAAAAAAAAAACAGAAAAATAATAATAACCTGTCACAATATTTCATGGATCGGCCATTGATAGTAGTAATATGGTTTGAGACCTGGTCCATGGATTGAGCATAATAAAAGATTTTCATTTTTAGACATGGTAGAAATCAAAAAATAACTTGTAGACATGCACGGAGTAGCCACGCAAATGTGAATAATTTCCTCCATTGCTCCAGCTAAATGTTTCAAATCATCGGTTCACTTGAATGGTTCTCTTTCTGCTTGAGCTCCAAATGTTACAGTCATTGGTTTGATTGAATACTTCTGTTTCTGTTTCTTTTTTGGTCAACCAAAGATAAGTAGTACATAAAACCTTCATGAACGTGGTATTACTACAAAAAGAAAATCCAGACGATTGACATAGTGCTGGTGACATGAGAATTCGAAACAAAGTCTTGATCGTGGATACTCAGGCTGTTTTTTCTTTTTGACAGCACAAAAACCAGAGATTTATGTCACTCTACGAATCTTTATAACAACACAAAACATATTTTTCCCCAATAAAAACATGTTCTTTAATTATCAGTTTCTTTGGTTAAATCTAGTTAATTTGTTTGCTTAAAGATCGGAATCTTGGATACAAAAGATTGGAAACAAAGAAAAATTCACATCTCATGTTTGCTCACTAAAAAGTAGTAGGATGCTAAGAAAACATTTAAAATTTTATTAAATTAATGTATCGCCACGGGATGCCTTCAATTTTATACTGATTTGATTTCTCTTTTATTTATTTTCTTTGGGGGAGACGTGGCTCATCTCCCATAGTTATCATTATCATCATCACCATTTTTTCGTAGCTTAGTCTAATATCTCATCTGCTCTTCGCATATAGGTAATAATAATATGATTTTATTATGTGATCTATAGGTATATAGCCCTCGCTGATTTCGATGGCTTTTATCACAGCTATAGTATGTATAGGCTCTTAACTTTAGCTGACATGCTCCTGGTTTGCTTAGTTTAACGAACTATAAATGTTAAAAATCTATCTATATATTTTCGTATCTCTTTTTCAAGTTTAGGTTCCTCACGAAAGTAGCAAAACGCATAGAAGCACACACACACGCTTATGTTTTTTTTTTTTTGCTAAAGAACACACACGCTTATGTTATAACATACATATACATATACATAAATAAATGACCTTTTTAAAAAAACATCATATATGGTGAAATAACGTCTTTAGTTGTTTTTGTTATTATTTACATATTAGACAGAACTCTTTATAAAAACAAATGCTAATTTATATTAGTGTTTCATGTTATCTCTCATCTCTGCATGCGCTCATGGCTCGGTTAATTTTTTAAAAAAATTATAACAGGCAAATACTGTTGACATAGCTAAAATTTATTTCAATCCATCCAAAAGCTCTAGATTTCTTTTGTTAAGTATCATTCGTGAAAAGCTTGAACGAGATCTTGTTTAATTGATCTATGATCAATCCACTAAGGGTCTACTGTCTACAAATCTATACGTATCACAATGCATCTTAAACTTATCTTGGAACTAGCTAGATATAAGCCCTAGATTTTAATGATACTAATTAATGTATAGTGGCTATATATATGGGAAAAAACACATGGACACATATACATATCAAATTCGTGTAGATGAGTTTAGTTATCATCACATTGTAATTAATTAATTGTTAAAAATTATTTTATTCCTAGCTAAAAATCTTTATACCACCAATGGGATGCAATTAAAGGAGATAACCACACGCCTAAACACACCGAACAAGACCTAAAATTAACACCCCCTGCGTGTATCTTAATATTATATATATACATATGGGTGTGTGTATGTGTGAGCTGTACATGAGCCGGATAAAGAAACCAGTTTAATAACTAAGAACCGAAAAAAAAAATCATTTACTTCTGTAACAATTAACGCATCAGCAATATATGTGACACAGATCATATCTTTTCAATCTTACCCACATCAAAAAACTATTCTTTTATATATTATTATAAGTTATACTGTAATAAAAATTGTGTGAGATGTAAACTAAAAATATCCAGTTTTGTCTCTGCCCATCTCCTGCAATCTGCAAAATCTGCTTGACTAATTAAGCAGCAGCAACGGCTTCAGAAACGCAGCAGTAACAGGACAGCAGCCATATCAAATAAACTAAACAAAGTAAAAAGTTCAATAACCATTTAATGTCATTATACACACAATGATGCAGTTACATATTATAAATATAAATACATATACATACATTTTCACTTTTCTAAGACAGCCCATATCTTCTGATTAGTTTCTGACCAGAGGGACATGGATTTTAAGTTTAACACTGATCCCTATCCAAAGTTTATGTTCTGTTATACTGTGACCCACCAAAGCTACTAGGAGACTCATTGAGGAAAAGTTTCAAACTTTTTTGAAGAACAAATCGGAATTAAAAAACAAAAAAAGACTTATGCTAGAACCAAATTCGATTTATTAAAGAACATGTTATTTCTTGATATTATCATTGAATCTTGAACGAAACCCTTGTGTCACATATATATAATATGTATAATTATCATATATAATGTGTATTTAAATAGAGATTAACCTCATAATCATCATCATCTATCCAAATCGAAAGACAAAGAAGACTTTCCTTTCTTTGTAAACAAGTTATGATCCTCATCAACACTTGCAGCTTCCATTGCTACTAAAGACTCATCATCACTGGTCACTAACCTCAGCTGGAGAAGAGAACCAGCACCAGCCATAGAAACGCTCCCACATGGCATACTACCACCGGAAGACGACGACTCTTCCTCCGTGCTATTCACACTTGCTCCGCCGCCGCCGCCGCCGCCGCACTCCATATCCACTCCAAACAGCCTTAACCTCTTCTCTCCTCTTGATGAAGCCATAGCAGCCACTTGTGATCTCCTTTGCATCATAACCGGCACGGATTCAATCACAGCCGTTGGATGGCTCCTCTCCATTGACCTCACATAATACCCAATTCCTAGATCTCGTTGAAATCGATGATAAAGGTTGTGACTTTCGTAATTTGTCGGCATCTGAGGATGAGGGAAAGAGTAAATCCTAGGGAACATAGCTCCGGCGAACTGATGATGATGATCGGGAATCTTTGGTCGTCTCCTCCAATCGATGTAAAGCTTGTCTTTATTACCGGGATCTCTCTGAAAAGAAACGATGTCGCCAGCGTCAAGCTTCTTGTCTTTGACGAAACGACTCCAACCTTTAGTCATGACATAGCTTTGGCTGCTGTTCCAGTAAGAGTAACGGAATCTCCATGAGTTTCCTGTTCGATCTTCGAAGTTTAGAAGCAAACCTTTGTTATTGTCGTTTGTTGAGGAATTGTCTAAAGGGAAGTATCTCTCTGCGTGTTGCTTTGGGATCACGAGTCGGTTTAGTTTCCCTACGTCGCTTGGTGTTACTACTTTGTCGAACATGTGCTCTCTCTCCATCGAAGAAGCTTCTTCCACAGGTTTCTCTTCTTCTGGATTCATATTTCTTGTTTAGGGAATCAATCTCAGATCTCTCCGGATTTTGACTTCCTCTCCATTCGATTTGAGAGCAATTCGATGAGAATTTGAAGTTAAAGATTCAATCTTTGGGTACACAAACACAAGAAAGAGTGGATATAGAGAGAAATGGAACCCTAGTTTCGGAATTGAGAAAAAGGAGGAGAATGGAGGAGAGAAGAGTATGGTGGTGGATGAGATTGACCTAATTATACAAAAGTAGAAAGTGGGTTTTTTTTTTGCCTAACTTCACTGATTAGCACGATTCTTTCTGATCTCTCTCTATTGAAGCCTTCTCTCTCTACTGTTTATGGAGCAAGAAGCTCTTCAATTCCAAGAAAAGAAAAGAAATTAATTAGGAACATCTCTGAAGGGCAAAGGAGGAGCGAGAGAGAGAGAGAGAGATCATGTAATATGAGATTGAAAGAGATATGGGCTGAGAGGAGAGAGAGAGAGAGAGGGGACCCATGAACAATCTGGTTCTGTTCATGTGAGCTTCTTGTCCTTTTTCTACCATCCTCGTTTCATTTTTCTCCATACAAATTCGTTATTACATTCATTTGTTTTGGCCTTTTTTAATAATATATGTTTTGATTTATATACCATTCTGAAAATGCAAAGAGTAAATTTAATTTGTCCAGTGGTTCATTTTCATAACAATGAAAATTTCATATAGAAAAAGAAAATCAATGTGTATCATATTTTTTAATTCCAATATAATATGGTAGATCATTCAGAGCGAGCTAAAAAATATGAAATGAGAAAACGATCTAGATGATAATCATTTATAATAAGAGTTAAGTAAATATGAGTAATCATGTGTAGTTAAAATTTGAATATGATAAATGTTATTTAGTTATTTTGGTTGAGAAGATTATTTTTGTTTTTGGAATGTGATTATTTAAACAAGAAAGGTTAAAATACCAAAAAGAAAAATTAAAGGGTTCTCTTAAATTTGGAAATAATTTTTTGCAATTCTTGAAAGTTTAAGAGACCCCTTTTTAATTTTCTTTTGGTATTTTTTTGAGAAAATTAAGAATTTTAAAAGGTAATTTTAGAAATTTAAGCATAAATAGTAGTCCTTAAAAATAATATTCATCTATTACATTACGATACAGTGTGACCAAGCCGGAAATATTTTTTGGCCAACCTGTCATAATATTCATTATATAATAAAGTGTTGGGATATGAGGAGAAATAGATGATAATGTGGGCTTAGGAATATATTTGTTTTTGTTTGAAGAGAAAAAATCTAAAAGATTACTATAGAGAAGACTATTGGATTTTAATGAACAGAGAATAATAAATGCTAATTATTGAGGTCTGTGGTAAGGCTTTTTGGGATGGGTTGCCTCAATTTGCTTTTACAAGGACAAGATGACATGTTGGTTTATAGTTTTGGTCTTTACTGTTGACTTTTTATTTGTTTGTCCAGAAACTTATTTACAGGGAAAAAATTACAGTAATTAATTCAAAATATAAAAAGTGGACAACTCATTTATATATGTGTATGCATAAGTTAATTAACAACCACAAAAAAACATTTGTTCAAGTATCTGCATACGTATATGTTTTACAAATGTTGTAACACAGACATGTTAGAAAACATATAAGTGATTCTTTTGTTCTGCTAATCACACTCACACATTAATTATCATTTCTGTTATCCCAATCACAATATTACTGGCTACATATATATATATATATATATACACTTATGTACAATAGACAGATATATAGTTATATACTATGTTTATTTGGGCTCCCTAGTTTGAACCTAATTAACAAGATTACTATAAGAGAAAAGTTAGGACCTGACGACTTAAACTCAAACCCATCTCTTTTGGAAACTATGATTACAGAATACGAACCTAGCTAGATTCCGTTTATTGTTTTTTATTTTTAAATATTTGTTGTGCCTAATATATTATTTTTAATTAATATTCTATGTATTACGGAGTATTGTCTTCTGTCTCCTCGAACATGTAAAACGAAATTAAAATGCATGTGATCCATCACCATATGCAATTGTGAGAATGGTGGGCTGATTTGTACCTTTTCCAATTATTTTTCTGTGAAGTTTTACCCGTCATGCTTAGTCTCTACTCTCTACTTTTATGGCATGATTTAACTTTTTTTTTGGTTAGAAGAAAAATTAATTTAGTTTATCAAAACTGAAACATCAAGAATGTTTTGAGGACTAAAACAAGAAAAAGGAAGGAGAGCTAAACAAAGCTGAATGGTCAGAAATGGATTTTTACGTTAGCATAAATCACGCTTTAATCTATATATATCCTATCACGTGAAAAATAAAAATTATAGTGAGTTCTCGTGGACCGACCAAAGTATCCTAGACTTATAGCGATGCAGATTAAATGTGTTTTTTATTTGGTTAAAAAGATTATAAAATGCTCAAAAAATGAAAAAACGAAAACCGATACAGTTTTAGTTTTGTGTACAGCACTACGGCTCATTCTTTAGACCGACATCACGTAAACATTACTACATAATACACATGTTGTTCTAGAACAAGACACGTGGCATTCACATGACCCCCTTCGAATACAAATTAAAAGTTTGTTTAAAAAAATTTCACGTAAATTCATGTTAAATCTTATCGTTATTTACGTACGTGGTAAGTGGTCCTGAAAGAGACGAAGCACCATTCATGTCTCTATGGCTAATTTCGGCTTAGTTAAGGGAGAATAATCAATTAAGTAAATCTTAGTTAAGGCTTGATTTAAACAAAGGTTAAAGTTCATGCATCTGATATAAAAATAAAATTAAAGAGTAGGTGAAAGAACATTTATCAATGTGGTCCAAACTCTCATCTCACAATGTTTACATAATTGAGTGGTCATAAAACTTTCAGGCGATAAACTGTTATTTTTTTTGGTTTGATTATTCACCAGAAATTAAATAAATATATATTACACCTATACGTGCATACTTATTGACTTTTAATATATATGTACCCACCCACTCTTTATTTTCTTTATTTCATGATAATGCATCCAAAATGAAATCACATAATGAATTTATTTACAAAAACTAACTAATCGGTCCAAATATTACTCTATCCGGCTGGCCAGTGGAATTTCTTGAAGATGATTTTTTTTTCTCAACTCAGTTGAAGTTGATTTTCTGCAAATTAATAATGACGAATAAAACAAAGGATTTCTAGAATCTGAAAATGGTGAAAAAAATGATTAAATGCTTAATTTATAGAAATGGTGGAAATTAGGAAGGAGACGTCGTAGCGTCGTCCTTTTCAAAGCATATACCCTTGTAGCAACGGGACCAATCTATAATTCTATAAATATGATTCAGAAAGAGAGTTATTTACAAATATCCGGTGTGATATCTGACCCAGAAAAATATACACCTCATAGATAAAAAAATCATGCGGTTTAATAGAAAAAAAGAATGGAGACTAATATGGTGGGGGTTGGCTATGGAAGTATGTGTGGAGGTATGTGAAATGAGTGTTAAAAGAAGAGTTTTAGGGTAAGGACCACTTCTTACAAATAGAGTAAACCTAAGCTTTGCAGATTGATTTACCATTTTTTCTCTTTAATGTTGATAATTACATTATATTTGTAAACGACTTTGCAAAAAAAATTGGTTGATTGGTTGAATTACTATGGAAACGAGGAAACAGTGGTTTGTCGATTAAGATGTGCATGTGTGTAGACCGTAGGTAAATGAACTAGGGTTTCTTGTTTTTATTTTGTTATAAATAATTAAATGCAATCTTTTATCAAAACACTGAAAAAAGTAAATAATAATTAAATGTACGTAGTCCATGATTTTTTTAGACCGATGCGATATTCGTGTTAATCAAGGGGGTTATTGAGAGTTGGATTTATGAAAATTTTAGTTGATTTTAAAAATCATGAGATTTGTCAAATTTTTAAGAGTTTTGTTGGATTTGTAAAATTTAGAGAGAGTTTTATGGATTTAAACAATCTATTAAGAATTTTTTAATATGACAGATTTTGAGAATCCAAAAGATATAGGTAGTATTTTGAGAATCATGATTTATGAATTAAATTACAAAGAATCATTATACTAATAACACTAGATTATAACAGAATCATAAAATCATTAAAATGCAGACTTTTTGAATAACAATGATTAGATTATAAAAATCATCATATCAATAACAATTGATTTTTATAATCTTTAAATGAATAACAAATGAATATATTAAGAATATAAAAATATACAAACCAATAACTATAAAATTTTAAACTCTAAAATTTTTTATAAATCAACTCTCCAATAACATCCCAAATCTAGTATCATATGTTACATACCGCGACCATATTATGGGGGAGGAAAAGGAAAGCAAAATAACAAAATAGAAAAAAAAAAATTTGACTGTATATAAATACGATAAGTCGCAATCAAAGAGGGTAGTGGTGAAATAAAAGGCGGACCAATTTCTTTAATAATAATAAAAATGGAAGATGGATGGTGCGATAATGGCGACAACATGTTCCAACTGTCATTTGCCCCCCAGGGTCTAGGACTCTTGCTCTATCCCTAGCCAACCCTGTTTTCTATTTAATTTAATTAATTAGATAATTTAAACAAATTTATTTTAAGAACTTTACTTATGGCATGGGTCTTGAAAAGTTTCATGTAGATATATTATTATATCTTATTTACCTTTGGAATCTAATTCCGAATAGCTTTAATTGTGATAGCAAAAGCTATATCCGTTTCGAGAACTGATTTTGTCCACAATACTCTCGAAATTGGCTTTGTATACTAGTAGTCTAGTTCGACTTTAGTTTGATTTTTTCGTATTGATTAGTGTTAACCATCACGAATATTGCATATATAGGAAACAAATTGACTAACGAGCTAAAAATTATCAAGAAATCTTACATTGAAAAGAAGATGGAACCCAAGACATTAGTTTTGTCTTTTGACTCATTATCAATTTGTTTGGATATGAAGCTAGAATACAGGAACTTTTACGTGATAGCATAACCTAATACACTCAAAAGAGATACTTTATTCAAAGATAATAATTTGTTTTAATATGAATAAGCGCAGCTATGATTACATATATATATATATTATTTACATAGATCGATGAATATAACAATAGTTTTAGTATTGACTTGATCATCTCTTGAGTCTCCACTTTTAGGGTTCGCACACATACAATGACCATACGTGCTTAGATTTACCTTTTGAAAGTGCATTTGGCTGTGTATGTGTTATTAATTGACCTTAAATTAGAATAACAAAAAAAAAACAAAACAGAAGAAAAAAAACATATATACAGTATAAGATATACACCGATAGGATTAATAAAATACAGATGCAAAAATATATGACGCGGTGGGGTAGGTTTGTATGGGGAGAGGGGGATACAGAGGAATCGTATCCAAGTTAGCTGAAAGGGAAGATTCAATTGTATGCAAAATTGGATATGTCATAATTATTATTTTCAATTTCACATAAAACTTCATATATATATATATATATATCTCAAAATATAATAACACGTGTAAGAACATTCGCATTTACTGTTCCATATCGTTGCTACATACGTGAATTTGGCATTACATATACATATACACTCCGTCATTCGTCAATATGTATATATATGACCTCTGAAATGGCTGCAGAAGTCAGTTTCTCAGTCATGATCCTAGCCTTTCGATATATATTTACACATTATTCATTGACTGTTTCCACAATTAACCACATGTACATGTATATATGGGTGTATCTACAAGCACCTGTGATAACATATAAGATACATGGAGTTGCAAATTTGCAAATTACTTTTTAACATAAGATTATAATAAAATGTCGATGTATATGTGATATTGGCTGAAATAATTGAAGGTTCGAAATTTTATTCGAGCCTTCTACAACATATATATAACTACGATAAATAAAAGTCTAAAATCGAGAAATTGCAGTAAACCATATAATGGATCCAAATACGAGATATCGCGTCTTCACTCAATGCACGATTTAGTTATTGTAAAATTTTTGAGATAGGTTTCAATCTGGAAGATGTAATGAGTAGGAAGGTGAGAATTACACATGAAAGATGTAATGAAGAGGAAGGTGAGGGTGGTCCAACCAAATAAAGACGATAGATAAAGATCAAAGAGACTATACATTGTCCCTTCACAAGTCTGATATATCATTGTATTTTTTGGTTTAGTCGCTTTCCTTTCTCCCACCAACACAATCGCAACATTTTGTAACTATTATTTATATACCAAATGGGAAAAGTTCAATTAATATGGGCCAACAGATAGCCCATTAGTGGCACCTGTTACAAGGTCACAAAAATTTTGGACCTTTTCGATGTTTCTCGCGACACGAGACAGAGTTCTCTCCCGTGTGATGCTGATTCCTCCGTTTGGTAGCGGTGATGGTCTCGCTCTCTTCATCCCTCCTTTCCAGACAGAAATGGGCCTAAAACGGCTGTAATGGGTTTTATTTGTGGTTAATTTACGTGATCTTCCACTCTAGGGAAAAAAAAAAATTTAGATAAAAAATTTAAATCCATAAATAGAACAAAAAAATTTTTAGACACATAAAATAGATCCAATAATCTAAAAAATTTTATTACAAAATTTTTAGATCCATGGAATGTCGCACCTTTGCTCTACCCACTTGGGCCGGGCCTGCCTTCCACGTGAGTATGTTTAAATTTCATGATAATTAGAGCTGGTCCCACTGATTGTGCCAGGTTAAAGGTGATGTGGCGTTTAACAAACGATTAGATTAATTTTCGTGTTGTCGGAACCGTACCAAAAGATTTTCTAGACTAGTCAACAGCGATAACTATTCATTTAAATTATTTATATGTCATCATTTTAACATATCCTTAAAGAAAAAATATATCTGCATTCGTAATCCAGAATCATAAGCGATAACTATTCATTTAAATAATTTACATGTCATTTTAACAGGTGACATATTATAGCATGCTTTGTAAAGCGAAGCCTACATCAATATATCATTTCATTTTGCAATATAGTTGTAACCCGCTTTTTAAAAGTGTATTTTTCTACCGTCTGTTTTTTTTTTTTTTATTATAATGTTAAATACCTTCTGTTTTTGTTTCGCAATAATAACATTTACGGTTATAATGTGCTATAACAATGAAAACTTGCGAGGTACAGAATCTTAGATCATTGTTAGCTACTACATGAAACGTTGGGTTGTAAGTTGTAACAAAAGTTTTCTTCTCTATGTTTGTTCTCAGTTTTCAGATGGTTCTCCTTAAAGTTCTTCTTCTCTATGTTTTTTAATGGTTTATCTTTGCTTAGATTGAGTTTGGGCCCAAGTATAAAATATTCCCAACAAAGATTAAACCATTATTTTCAATTGAACTTTTCAATTTCTAAGATTGTTTTTTGGTGTTTTCTTTGGAGTCCAAATCTTAAAAGTAAGAAAGCTCACATACACATTCATAAACGATTAAATTATAAATCAGACGTTCATGAAATCTCGAAATATGCTGGAACAAACTTCTGAATCGTTGAGATAATCATCATAGAATCCAATAATTGAATATAAATGAACCATAATTTGAGATCTGTTGTGGGAAACTAATTAAAAGAACTATTAAAAAAATAACAAATAGTTTTGCTAGATTTGATCATACTCAAATATAACAAATTTTGTAAGGTAAGAAATAAATTTCAATGTTTATAAAAGGTAATATTCAGAGATATTTCCTAGGTACTTTCCTCGTGGAATTTGGATCCAAGACGTCAATTTTTTTTAATTTCTTTCTTCTCGACTACAAGTACAAGTAAGAAACTCTTTGCTCATAAGCTAAAACCAAATCTCAATCTCTCCACACACAAAACAAAACAAAAAGTTAAAAAAAAAAGGAGAAGAAAAAAAAAACACAATAAGTTGATTGCTTTACTGTAATATATATATAAAAATCAATCACTTACATCGTCTCCTTTTGTTAACAAAAAACAGTTTGTTGTTCTAAATCCGGAAAATTTTGCTTTGATTTTTCTTTGTTTTGTTTGATCATCGTTCGTTAAAATCTGTGTCGTAGTAGAAGAAACAATGGAGGTTGATGCAACTAAGGATCCGAAATTATAAACGGGTCAAAACCCAAAACCCGGATGGACGCGGCACGACTTGTGGGTGACTACGAACTTGGCCCGAAAATCGGGTCCGGTTCGTTCGCTGTGGTGTGGCTAGCGAAGCATCGATCGTCTGGTTTAGAAGTCGCCGTGAAAGAGATTGATAAGAAACTGCTTAGCCCTAAAGTCAGAGATAATCTTCTCAAGGAGATTTCGATCCTCAGCACCATCGATCATCCCAACATCATCCGATTTTACGAAGCTGTCGAGGTTTAATTTGATCTAGCAACTGAGTGGATTTTGGATAATTCCGCTGAAATTGATACTGAAATTGGGGATTTTTGTGGTTTTTGGACTCGAACTTTTGTAGACTGGAGATAGGATCTTCCTTGTATTGGAGTATTGTAGTGGAGGTGATCTTGCTGGGTACATCAATCTCCATGGAAAAGTATCAGAAGCTGTTGCTAAGCATTTTATGAGGCAATTGGGTAAAAGAAATATCTGTTTTTTTTTTGTCTCTTCATGTTTTCATTTTTGGATTTGGTTTGATGTTTGAATCTCTGTTCTTGTTCTTGTGTTGCGTTTTGTAGCTTTAGGGTTGCAAGTACTTCAAGAGAAGCATTTTATCCACCGAGATTTAAAGCCTCAGGTAACTAAAATCTCTTATACTGTAGTTTAACCGCTACGATAAGAGTCTTTTCATGGTTCTGTTTTCTTCAAACCCTTTCAGAATTTACTTTTATCGTCCAAGGAAGAAACTCCATTGCTAAAGATTGGAGATTTTGGGTTTGCAAGGTATTGTTTACGTTCTCATATCTCCAAAAATGTTTTCTTTTAGAGGAAAGGTCTTGGTTTGGTTTGGTTTGTAATGTTGGTTTTGGTAGGTCTCTACAACCGCAGAGCATGGCGGAAACATTTTGTGGTTCTCCATTGTATATGGCTCCAGAAATTATTCAGAACCAAAAGTATGATGCAAAGGTGAAGAAACTTCATCAGTTGGAGAAAAGATTTTAAAGTTTTCTTTGGGCTCATTATTTAATTGTGAAATGGATGTTTCAGGCTGACTTATGGAGTGCTGGTGCGATTTTGTTTCAACTTGTTACTGGAAAGCCACCTTTTGATGGTACTAATCACATGCAGGTTCGTTGTCCTGAACCGATGGATTGCCTCTTGAACTTGTAATGAACTTGTGGCCTTTGTAATGCTTTGGGTTCTGATCTCTACAGCTTTTTAACAACATTGTGAGAGACACTGAGCTGAAATTTCCTGAAGATGCTTCGAAGGAGATTCATCCGGATTGTGTTGATCTGTGCAGAAGTCTTCTACGCCGGAACCCAAGTACTTGTTATAGGATTCTTTGTTTGTCTACTTGTCTTTATGATCATTTCAAATTTTCATGGAAATATACGGCTTTTTTCTTTACTGCAGTTGAACGCTTCACATTCCGAGAGTTCTTCCATCACAAGTTCCTTCAAGAGCCAAGGTAATGTCTTGAGATTTTGATTAAATATCTGGAGTTCTTCAATCACTCGCAACCTTCATCTTTTTTTTTTTGTTTAACCATCAAAACCCTTAAATTCTTCGTTTCATCTTTCGTACCAAATGCTGTCAGACAATTGCCGTGTGTTGAGCATTCTGATTCTACTACCTCTACGGGGAAATCATCATCGTTGCCCTCCGCACAACCGAGTAGCACAAACCGACTCAAACCAAGTGCAGACAATGTCTACAAACCCGGGAATTCCTCTAGTGCCTCAAAATCTCACATTTTAATGCCACACGTCTCTTGTGAGAAGACTGGAAAAGATACTGAGGGACAATTCTCTTCAAATCAATTAGGAGGTTTGTTATGCGGATTTTGTGTCTTATCTCTATTGCTTATATAAGCTCAGTTCGCTCAGGATCGCTTGCGGTTGCCATTTGCCTGCAGTTTTTGACTCACTTGAGCTCATAGAGAGAGAGTATGTTCTTGTAAACCGTCCTTCTGCTTCACTGGAAGGTTCATCAGATTGTTTCGACACATCACTGCAAGATTCTGGGATTCCTAACGACAAAGGTTCACTTGAAGCACAGAGACCATTATCTGGTGGGTCAGGTCCACGACCAGCAAGCGGATCATATCTGTTAACAGAAGTACAACGGTTAACTATCGTTCATCCTCCGACAAAGCTCCAACTTTTGTATCAGTATGCAGAAGCACTTACAGAAGTAGCTCGTGAGATGGTAACTTAAAACTCCTAGTTTCTCGGGGTCTCAAATGATAACATCACAGCTTCTAATACCGTTGCATACAGGGAAATGCAGGACAGGTAAAGGAGTCTTTTGCTGTTACGCTCGTCGTTTTGGCTGTCTGGACAAAAGCTTTAGAGATATGCGATTCTTGGATGACGTCGGTTGGAGAAGATAGAGTGAACCCAGATCCAACCACAGCTCCTGAGACTTCAATTCCAGACTTAAATTCACCAGCACTAGCTAAAACTTGGGTGACACAAGAGTTTGTTACCGCGTTTAACCAGGCCGAGAATTCTTCAACTCAACTAAACGAAACAAGCGGTCAGTACCTAAACCGAGCATTCTCTTCTTTTTTTTTTGTGGGTTTCTGCGCAAATTCCCTGAATGCATACCCTTCGTTTCATTGCAGCTGCTACTCATATGCCTGACGCCATGGAAACAGTATACGAGAAGGCACTAGCGTACGGCAAGAGTGGTGGGGTAAGTGAAAAGTTTCTATCTTTTTCACTTTTTGTAACATTTTGTCCCAAAAAAAACTGCCTGAAAAACCTTTGGTTCATCCTTTCGTGGAAACTAAAACTTTTTTTGTGGGTTGGATCCATTTTTTTTTTTTTTTTTGTTCTTTGGTTTTGCAGGCGGAAGAATATTTGAATAACAAGGAAAGTGCAGCAACATTATACAAGAAAGCAATTCTTCTACTCTCCTTTATAATTGAGGAAGCAGTGACTCTATCCCTAAACCCTCCTTTCTCATTAACCCTTGACGACAAGAAGCGGATTCTCTACTACATCTCTAACTTGCAGCATCGTCGGTCTCATCTTTAGCGAAAATCGACCGCGACATTGTACAGAAGAAACTTTCCTGGCTTTCATTTTCGGGTTTTCTTATCGCTCTCTTGAAATTTCGAAACGGTTACTCGATATTGATGATGCCGTGATCAACAGTATTTGCCTCCCCCATTGTATATTACTATATTGCAATATCAGAAGCTTAAAGTTCCAAAATTGCAAGCTTGTTGGTGGCTTGGTGCCCATTACGAAAGTATTATAAAAAACTAAAAAAACAAACTACTATAGAAACAATGGTTTCCTTTTTTTAATATTGTTGTCAATGAGCATATATATGGTCAACCCTTAAAATAAGGACAGAGGTCAAACCATAATTGATGAATTATCATAAATACACATAAGGTCAAACTTTAATTAGATGGGACCCAAACCCATAAAACACCCAAAGCCTAAAAACATGATCGAGAATAATCCAATAATATACGAACAAAACAGAATTTAATTCCGTCAGTCGGAAAACGAAAGAACGAAAAACGAAAACAAAAAAAAAGTGTGCTCTCTACTTCAATGATTTTTTAAAGAAAAAGATATGTCAGCTTTTTATTATCATTTCGGGTTTTACATATTTATTTTTATTTTTATGTGTTAATCAAAATCGTCGGATATCGAAAATCTGATGCGCCGCTTTCGTTATCTCGTCTGCCGATTCTAGTTCACAATCATCCTCCATCTGTTTCCGGCGAAATTAAGAAAAACAAAAAAAAAAATGAATTTTTCTATTTAAAGATTGCATTTTTCAATGTTGGTTTCTATAAACTGAGATTTTATAGAAAGAAATGGAAAGTAGTTAGTTACCTTGAGGTTGAAGGAATAAGAGACAGAAAGATTAGACGAAGAGGTGATGTTGAGATGAAGAACAGTGAGTCGAAGCTTTTCCAGTGAAATGATTCCTTTGAGAAGGTGTCCTTGTTCCTTCGCGCATTGAACTTTAAGGCTGACGTGGTTTTGTATCACTGTGGCCTCGATTTTGGTTTGATCTTCGTGACCGGTCCACAAGTCACTCGACGAAATGCCTGAAAGATGATGATTATTAGTCGCTTGGTCGTTAACTCCGTTTTCCACTCCACTACTTCTCTTTTGCGACTCAAGAGACTGTATGATTTGCTCGAGGACCTTCACGTAGTTTATCGCTCCTCCTACTATGGATGCTTGGTCTCCCTGTAGGACAACCAAAACTAAGCAAGTTCAGAGATTTTGGGGGTTCTGAGGGTTAAAGGTTGAAACTTGAAACCATTTTTTTATTTGTTCATATTACTCGTTGGATGTATGAAGGTGGGAGAAGGGAACGGAGGGAGTTGATATGTTCGTTCATCTGACGCCGTCGATTTCTTTCAACAGCAATGTGGTTTATTCTTTGATTCTCTCTGTCTTCAATGTTTTTAGTTGGTTTACTCTTCCTCCTTTTTCTCTTCTCTTGAGTCATTTCTGGAGATAGCAACAAGTGGCTGATTTTGCGTTTGCGTCTTGAATTCGCAGTGCGTGGTGATGAGGAAGAAGAAGGGATTATCATGTTTGTTTGGCTAAAGCTAAAGGGAAGTTCTTGGCTTGATAAAGCTGCTCCTTCCATGGATGATGCTGAAATTGGGTTGTGACAGATGCGGCTTGTCTCGGATTGGACCGGTGACTGAAACTGCGGATCCTCGTGTGAAAGATAGCTTTCGAGTTCCCAAGGCTCTTTGGGTGGCTCAAGAGACAGTAGCGATAGAAAATTTGGTTCCTTGATTGACAAAAACGTTGAAGGGTCTTCTTCACTTTGCAGCATCTGTAGAAATGGAACTGTATCGTGCAAGCTTTCTTCCTCCTCTTTCTTAAAGGCAAAGCTTTGAGCTTCTGCAAATCCTTGAACGTCTAGGCTTCTCGCATCCGCTTGTCGATCATAAAACTGCAAGAAAGACAGAGGAATGAGATTATCGGTTGAGGCGAATGAAATACTTAAAAAAGATGTGTCATTTGATTCTACTGTGGGTTTGTTTGGGACTTGGTAGTTTAGTTCAGAGATAAACAAAAGTAGAAGGGGAAATGGAATGTTTTCAAAGTAGAGGGAAACAGATTGATTGCAGAACTGTTATTGTTTTCTGTAAAACAAACAAGGAAAGCATTGAATGCAAAGCATCTGGACTCATTAGGAAAAGAGAAAACGCAAGTCCATTTCTCTGAGCATAGAAAAAATGATTCAAGAGAAGAGAGAAGACTGAAGAAAGAAGGAGAAAGCTTCCTAAATTAAGCAAAAGATACATACACAGGGGTTGATGTGTCCTTGAAACCTCTCCATTTGAGAGCTTTTGTTTGTTATGTATTATTATGTAATGATGTGTAAGAATAAATGCTAAGAAGCACCAAAGAGGCAGAAGAGGAAACTCATGTACTCTCTTCTGATTCTGAGGCTTTCTGGACTTGTAACTGTTAGCTTTATATAGAACAGTGAGTTTTTAGTAGCTTTTGAGTAGAGAGGAAACAGAGGAGCTGTAAGAAAAACAGAGGGGTAAGATAATAGATGTATTTGGGTACTGTAAGAGTTGGTGAGGCTGAGGCGCTGAGCAGGGCAGGGGAGAGAGAGAGAGAGATTATTGGTGGAGGCAGTTTTGTCTTGAAGTGGAGACAGAGACTTTGTGGGGACATTCTAAATTACACAGAAGAAGAAGGTAAAAAGGGACGAGTCATGGGTAAGAGAGCTTCTATTGGGTTTGTGTCATCTTTCTTCATGATGTCTCAATCATCCTTTCTTCACTATACCCCATACCATAACATCATCATCATCATACATTACGCACCACACCATTCCTTTCTTCATGGCTTAGAAAGCTAAACTTTATACAGAAACTATGCTGCCTCCATCAGGTTCTAATGATTTGACCCATTTCAGAGTTTGACTAAAATTAAGGTTTCGAAAGTGTGGGTTTTTGTCTAATATCTTGATTAAAAAGAGTTGACTCTACAGATATAACAACACTAAGGAATCTTATCTATTATTGATGCCTTGGCTTCTACGGCGCTAAACAGTCTTGTACTAACAAAGGTCCCAATTTTGTCTACAAAATCTCACTTCCAACGGATAAATTCATATCCGGTCTCACAAATTTTGTAACAAAGAAACAAAGAATCGGCCTTTGCATAGTTAACGAAGACCTTAGAAACCTTATCAACAAAATTAAAACTCCAAAGAAAGTTTGGATCTTTTTTTTTATTAATTATGTACTGAGATATGGTTGCTACTGTCACACACGAGCTATGGTTACTTGCTCTCAGGACAAACATGTCCCCACTCTTTTTGGTACGCCTATCGTTAAAGATAAACCCTAAAGATTCAGATTCTTCTATAGTAAGTTAACAAAAAGACCTAATCTCAGATAAAGGTATGTCCTTCAATTTACCTTTTTCAACACGGGACCCAGAAAAAAAAACCTTCTTCATAAACAAAAAACAAAAACAATGGCATATGTCACAGCAATGTAATATATAGCACACGAGAAAGCGAAAAAGATTGAAATTTGATCACGAAAATGACAGAAACCCAGAGAGCTTAACCGTTTCGAGCTTGCGTTGTTGTTTTAACGCTCGATTTGTATTGTAACGTGACTGATACGATACTCTCTCCATATGTAATCAATCACTTTGTCAAGCACCAAACCATCATCAGCATCTGGTTTAATCTTGACATGACAAGAAAACAGAGCTTTTCCAACTGTAATTGCCCAAATGTGCAACTCATGAACAGCCACTACTTCTTCAATCTCCATCAATCCCTTTTCGAGCTTCCTCGCGTCGATCTCTCTTGGTGTGCTCTCCATTAGAACTTCAAGTATGCTTCTAAGCATCTTAGTGGTTGTCCCTAGAACAATAACCGAAAAGACTAACGTGCAGATCAAGTCAATCACTTTCCATTTAGGGTTATACCAAATCATTCCCCCTCCAATGATTACGCCAATGCTCTGGATTAAATCCCCAAGAACATGAAGATAAGCCCCTTGGACATTAATGTTCCTCTCCTTCGATTTCTCCAACAAATGCTCAGCATTATCTCCATGACAATGACCATGATCGTGACCATGATCGTGACCATGACCATGATCATGTCCAAGTACAACAATTATTATGATGTTTACAACTAAACCAAAAGTAGCAACAAGAACCATAAAGAAACCATCAACATGATCATTAGTCTCTTGAATGAGTCTAGTAATGGCTTCATAGACCAAAATCCCAGTGAATAACCAAATGAGCTGGATTGAGAGAAAAGCACCCAAAATCTCAATCCTGAAGAACCCGTAACTCTGCCGCGAATTCGCTTCCCAAGAAGAAGCCCACAAGGAGAGCATAGAGATAGCAAAAGCAGCAACATCAGTGAGCAAATGAGCTGCATCGGTTAGTATAGCCAAACTATTAGCCTTAATGCCGCCAATAACTTCTATACTCATGAACAAACAACATAACACTGCAACGAAACAGAGCTTTCGCATGGAAGCAGCTCGTTCCTTAGCATCGCTTGAAGAAGTTGAAAACCGACAAGCTGTTTCTCCACAGACATTACTTCTTCTTGACTCCATCTGCAAAAACAAAAATGTTAACTTTAGAGCTTGAAGCAATATGGAATAAACCCCATTCTACAGATGCAATAAATTATAGATTTATTACCTTACAATATAATGGTAGAAACTCAAGAGTACAGCTTTTAAGTTTTTGAGACATGAAGGACAATTTTAAAGGTTGGAAAAATAGAGAAGCAACTGGGACATGCATTCCACGACTAGACAAGGATTCGAGCAAAACAAACATTACACATTACAACTTACAAAAAAGGTAAGATTATCATATTTTAATAATTAATTAGAGCCCATGAGTTAATGATAATGACAACATATTGATACCATTACAGAGAGTCAAAACCTTAATCATACAGAATAGCATGCGTAGAAGTATTATAAAATAGCTATACAAGTCAAGACAAAATGTAACTATGACGATATCCAAGCGACATCAGATTCCGAATTAGACCAATTCTTGATATCACACAGAGAGTGGAATGAATCTGGAACAAAAAATTGGGAGTCAACTTAGATTAAATAATGTGATGGTTATCTCTTATCGAGTTTCAGTGTAACGAATAACAATTCATACTTTTTGATTAATAACGTATACTGACTGACCAAAAAAAAAAGAATATTTATATGATCAAAATCCCCCCCCCCCAAAAAAAAACAGCTTAGCCCATGGAATTGTTTTTTTTTTCAACTAAACTGTTTGTTTAATCTGTAGTTGTAGTGTACATTTTAATTAATTAAATTATAAGTTTTCAGTCACCTTTAATTAAGTTTTTGTTTTCTTAAACAAGCACATCTTATAATTTATAGAATGGGCTAAATATTAGATTTGGGCCGACGATATACAGAATTTAACTTCGGCCTAATACCGTTAATTGTTTTGTCTTCGCTAATGATCTTTGACTTGACCGGAACGGATCAAACAAAATGCAAAAAGACCTTTAAAATCTCGTGCTGATATTTTATAAATCATTTAAATATAATATATGTATATAATATTTATTTCACATTTGCTGCCCTTTTACCTTTTTAAAAATCAATTTCACGTGACCTTGACCTCGATCTATACAAAACATTATTTTTCACCCGATTGATAAAAAACTTTAAAATCATTCCTCTAACTAGAAACGAATTAAAGTTTGAAGTAGCCGATTGGATTTAATTTTTTTTATGTAGTTTAAATGTTGAAATATCTACAATTAATATGCTATGTAGCGAATTTAAATTTATTATTTCTGATAATGATGGTTTTCGAGTGTAAAAAAAAGAGAATTCGTATTTTCTGTATGTATATGCCTAAACATAAATATGGTGACAAACTGACAATAAGAAAATGGAAGTTTACATTTATATTTGTAAAGCACGACACAAAAATACTGACTTTTTTAAATAAGAGGGAGCTCCTGTTTTCTTTAGCCTAATATTTATGATAATGATCTAGAAAACTATAGACTATAGTATATCAGAAGGCCGTTTAACCAAAAAGAAGAAGTGTATATAGTATATATTTATCTATCTATATTGAAGAGACATATATCGATTAATTTATTCCTCTATGATTTAACCCAATCTTCGAGACACCAAGAAATTTCCACACCGTTGAGACCAAACATCGTCATCGGAGCCAAGAACACTCGCTGGCAAGCGACCTTCCATACATTCTTTAAGAATCAAGAAACCAATCTTATTACCACCGTCTGATTGATCACAACCACCACGACTTGCCAAATACAAAAGCTCTTCGAATTTATCTCTTCTCATCCTCACTTTAATCCTTAAACGACCCTTCTTCTCTCCGGCCACCGCGTCCGCCACGTATCCTCCTCTCATCCCTTCGCCGGAAGCCGGGTGTACAGCGCTGCTTCTCCTTAGAATATTTCCCATTTTTTTTCAATCTTTCTTGGTTGCCAAATGCTTGCACTAATTGATACGTGTATATATAGGAGATTATGGTCTTATGGATTATATATAGGGTTGGCCTTATTACTATTATTATCTCTGGGTTAAGGAGTTGAGTAAGGATGTGAACTACGATGCATGGGGCATGCGAGGGTATTAGACGAAACTAAAGATGGCTATTGAAAATTCTGGAGACGAAATTAAAGCGTTGTTCTGGTTCACGTATCTGCTGACGTGTAATTTAAGTAAATTCACACACAACATAACGCTGGGTGTGTTTCACGCGTCAACTATCTTAAAGTACGGTCTTTATCTCCGGGATTTGTCACCTCTCCTGTAATTTAATAAAGTAATAATCACCTATTTCTCGTTTTATTGAAAAAATAATTACATATAAACCTCCCCATTTTTCTGGTTGGGTTCTATACTTATATTTAAAAGAAATTTAATATTGTGCGATCCCCGTTTTGCACAGTTCATTAAACAAGACAATGCCGTAATAGCGTGTAATTTAGAATCATTAGTTTAGTTACTGTTAAGCCCATTATATAAATCCATTTGGTCAGAAGTCTGGCCCGTAATGTAGTGTTGGTTAGGCCTTAAATTTTTCGATGTTAGTCTAAAAGTGCGATTTACCGTTTTTTTAAGAAACGCTACCAAAATAATTTGAACCGAATTTAGGAGAAACTAATTTAATTTAGTTTCAGTAAATAAAGCCAAAATGATTCTTTATTGGCGAAACAATCTTAAATTGAGTCTACACCGAGACAGAAAATACAGAAAAGAGAACCAAAATAATTATCCCTTTGGATTTTTATTTTAAATTTAAAAATTAAGCTCACATGGAACGGAAACCAAACTATACCCGACAATGTATTCAATTTTACTGCTAATATTTATCTCAATAAACTTTTCAGGACCAAAACTACATTATACCCCAAATTGAACACCATCATTTTTACATTTGAATTATTTTAACCGAATAATGGATACATTTTTCATTTGTTTACTGCTCATCTTAGTTTTTGGTATCTGAATTTTTTTAGCATATAATTTCGAAAACAAGTAATCTAGTGGCTCCTGCTCTCACACATCTACCACTCTGTGAATCCACATTTCTCTAACTGAAGTTAAATATTAGAAACACAAACTGTAATTTGGCCATTACCCGTTAGGACCCATAAAATGAATAATGACCCGCCAAGAAATTGTTGGTACGTAATTGAGTGCACCGAAAGGTGCTACTATATATTTTAGTTCATTTGTTTTGCTATACCTTTTCCCCCTTTTCGTGTAAAATAAGAAGACAAAATGTTATATTGTTGTAGGGCATGGATCCACATATTTAAATAATCAATTGGAGCAAAAACAAGATGTACAAGATATACTCTATTTGGTCCATATTTTTTTATCATAAAAAAATAAAGAAGTTTCGCCCATAGTCTTTTTTATAGTATAATTTTTGTTCTTGAATGTTAAGTTTGGCCCATAGTTAACACGTGAACGTGTTCCATTTATTATTTTATAGCATAATTTTTTACCAAAGTTTTTCGTATCAATTTTTTGTATTCTTACTTTTAATAATTTGGCTTCAGCGGAAAGTGACATAGTAAAATCCAATTACAGTGTGTATGATTCCAAAATTAAAGATAAATCAAAGTCTTTTTTTGTGTCTATGTCGGCATTTCCTTTACGGTTTTACCTTTTGACCTCACGTGAACATTATTAACCCATATCAATCAATACACCAAGTGGTTTCAATGGAAATATGGCAAATGAAGTTTGTTTTTGTTAAAAAGGATTATTGGAAAATATTTCTTCGTTTAAATAACCTTTTCTCCATTTTTAAAGTTTAGTAAATAAATCTACATTGTAGACTATATTACTAATTGTTGAAAAAAAAAAAGAAGAAGACTATATTACTAATTATTCTCTCGAATATACCAAAATTAAATTATGAGTGTAGAAAGAAAGAAAGAAAAAAACAAATCAGAATATGGTGATATAAAATCGCAAGCACAGGATCTTTGTTCATTCTTTTACCAAGAAAAGTAGTGGACCATCCACAATTATTTTCTTTGACGTCGTAAAGTTTTTATACTTCAGCTCCTCCAAGAAAACCTCTATCTTAGACCCTTCTCTATTTTGGTTTTCTTCAGATTCCATGAGTTATTACATAGATATACAATCGTGTCATTATTCTAGTATATGTGAAGAAAATTAAATGGGTAATTGCGTATTCAAAGGAAGTGGAGGTTTAAGAACATCATACGATAAAGATGACTTATTAATAAAAGTGGTGACACCAAACGGTGGAGTAATGGAGCTCCATCCTCCAATTTTCGCCGACTATATCACCAACGAATATCCCGGCCACGTCATCCACGACACCTTAAGCCTCCGCCACTCATCTCCGCCGCTTCTCCACGGCGAAGAGCTCTTTCCCGGTAACATTTACTACCTCCTCCCTATCTCTTCCGCCGCGGCAACGGCCTCTACCACTCAACAACATTCCTCCGACCAATCAGCAACGCCGTTTAGAATGTCTATCGGGAAAACGCCAGTGAAGGCGGCTGCGAACGGCGGCGGCTCTGGAGTGTGGAAAGTGAGGCTTGTGATAAGTCCGGAGCAGTTGGCGGATATTCTTGCGGAGGATGTGGAAACAGAAGCGTTTGTGGAAAGCGTGAGGACGGTGGCCAAGTGCGGCGGTTACGGCGGAGCTAACTGGAGGGCGACTTCAGATCAGCTAAGCGTTACAAGTAGTTTCAAAGGGCAACTAAGGTAACAAAAATTCGAATAAGTTAAATTTTGTTTCACGGTTCAATCATTTTAATTTAGTTTGAATTCGATAATTGTTGGAGCGATTAATTATAAGTAGTTAAGTACATTAACTTTCGAGTAATTGAAAAAATGGACGACATTTCACATGATCCAATATTTATCTTTCTTAATATGCTGGGCCTATTATATGGACAAGAGAGAAAGACAATATTAATCACTCGGCTACTTTGCTTAAAAACTTTTCTGGGCCTAAATCGGCCCATGCTGGGTTTGTAAGACTTGTCCACGTCATTCGTGGGTTTAAATTTTTGTTTTAAGAAAAAGTAGTTAATTTGAACGTTGTAAACTTGAAATCAACTACAGATAGAATCAGTTTATTAGTGACTATCCATTTTCCACTTTTCAAAGTTTTACGCCTCGAACAAAATATTAAACGCTAATTGCCAAAACTTGTTCACCAATCGCCATCGCTCGGTACAATTATCTTCACCATCGTGATCATCACAAATCAGATAATTGTATAGCACTGTAGCTAGAACAATTATAAATCGACAATCAACATTCATTATTCACATTTTTATATTTATATTCTCAAACACCACTATTACTCCTAATCTTGTGGGTTAGGCCGTGTTTGGCTCCACAACTCCACGAGATCAAACCCATACAAACAAAGACAATTAAAAAGAAATAAAAGCTTAATAATTAAAACAAAGACAATCTTTTTTTTTTTTTTTTTAACTTTGGTGCTTGATTGCATCGTCATATACTAATGATCACGCTCATACACCATCATCATCATCAAGCTCTAAAACATCCAACAAGATGATTATGGCTATGGTTATGATGATTAGTATGATAATTAATCGATCTCTCTCTGTGGATCATGTCTTGAACATACCGGAAAACCTGCACGTGGCAAGGGATTGTGATGGTACCCTTCTGCTCGAAGCCATACTCTTCCTCTGCGTCCTTTAAGAGTTGCATGAACAATGGATGGTTAAAATAGAAAACAGGAACAACAAATCTTTGCTTTTTCTCTTCTTTTGATCCCACTATGATTGCTAAACAACCTTTCGGAACATCTTTGATCCCTTGTTTGCTATTGTTCTTAGAATGATGTGAGTGAAAGCTCTTCAAGTTTTTTTCTCCAGAACCCATAACTTATAATACAATGAAGAAAGAAGGAGGCTAAAAAGGAAGAAAATTCTAAAATTTTCCGATAAAATTTGGCTTAGAAAACAGAGGAGAAAGGCCAAGGATCTTCTTTTGGAATTGGAGAGGGTTTCTGAGATTTGATAAAGTTGCTCATTTTTTTTTGTGTGGAGATAACAAAAAGTGGTTTTTATGAGGGATGCTGACTGAGATATAAGGTTCAAAACTGAGATTTTTTATTATTATTATTATTATTGTGTATAACCAAGACGAGTAATAATTCAAATTCAATCAGCTTTTATTTTTGACTTTTTTGGATTAAGATCTAAAAAATATGCCCGAAAAGAAAAGAGTAACCATTTAATCACGCATCAATTGAATCTGTCAATAATTTCAGTTTCGTTTTATTTTTATTTTTTAAAATAATTTTCAAGGGCTGCCTACTGCCTAGCTATCGGAAATCAAGTGATAAATTTAGCCTAAAAATTTGACAGTTAAAATCTTGTGGATAGAATTTTCAAGCAGAAGTACTAAGTTTCAGGTTCAAGTTTGCTTCATTTTTACGGTTTACGGTTCATGGTTAACCATTAACCTTTGTGTAATTAAACGTACTTCTTTTAAAATAGAATAAAATATGAGTATGATAAATAATCAGAATAATCAATGTAAAAGAACAAAAAACAAAATCAAGCAAAAACCATAAGAAAACAAAAATACTCAATATTCGGAAGAAGATATAAATGAAAAAGAGTTGACAAAATGTAGAATGAAAAAGACAAAGTGAGACCGCTCCAAGTGGGCGATGGTGGAGGGAGTGGCGTAGCAAATACTTCTTGGTATCTGAAGTGATACAGAATATTTTTATTTTTATTTTGAAACGGATATAAACAGGTGTTAATCGTTTAATAGAGATTAGCTGTTTTAGGCTATAAAAAAGACACAAGAATGGAAGTAGGTCAGATTATCGGTTGATGTAAATAAGTACAAACAACGAAAGAGATTTGAACTAACCCAGTGATTTCTAATAATAATATAATTCATAACAATTCACGGGTCGATCGAAAGATATATTTTTCTCAGCATCTTTGTGAATTCGTGTGTAAAATAAAATTTTAAAAACACGAATATATTTTGACTAACATAAATTACAGATTATTATGCCAATAGATTAACAATCAGATTCTTTGTGGTAGAATTGAGACAACGAAATACAAAAGGGGAAAATTGTGAAAGTAAGCGGCCAAAAAACTCCACCCAGCCAATGGCCGTTGTGGAGGACCAACCGTATGTATATTTATCAACCTAAAATCATCTAGGCCGACTCAGTGGGCCGAACTCGGCCTTCGCCTTCACTTTTATAAGTCCAAATCTGAAGTTCAGTTCCAATGTTTCAGAATCTTGCATATAATGTCCATGAAAATCCTATTCATTAACATTACTAAGGAATCATGGGATACATATGAAGAAAAACATTAGTACCAAAATTAATCAGAAACCTTTTTCCCTTCTTGGAGAAAATTCTTACTTCTTAGTATGTGCAGTATTGTGGATGTACTTTTCCAAAAATGTATTCAAGAAAAGTTGCATAATAATGCGCCTCAGTTATTTAGTTATAGTAACCAAAAGTTTATCTGGGAAAAACAAAATAACGCCACACTGTGTACTGAAGAAAATAAATGTAATTAGACAATGGAACAAAGATTTAAATTGAACATCAAATCCTAGCGGTAGCTAGGAAGATAGACACTGAAACCGTAGTTAGATAAAAACGAGGTCAAAGTCGTCTTTCATAAAGCACATAGTAACTTGTAAGAAAAACAATGTCAAAAAGACAAAATGTAAAGGCCATGGTAATTTGTGTAATCACTAGTGAAAAGATAACTTTTGGAAAACAAAAAACAAACTTTCTTTTCCCTTTTTACTTTAAAGGCTTTCACGTTTTCTTTTAGATCGGTGTAAATTTTTAACATTCATCCTTTGAATTAATTATCTCGCTTTTTCCTGTTATGGTTCAGTGAATGTCCAAAATAAAAACATTCCTTCGTTCCACTCTCTATATATATCCATTCCCTTTGTAATTTTCACTTTTTTATACAGAGGTTATATATGAATACCAAAGAGTGTTTCACTTTTTCACACTACATTAAACCGAACGTGCAACAAAACCGTAAATGTTGCCATTCTCTTAACAATAAATGTTGATTCTTTGAAGGTTATGAATACCACAAGTGTTTCACTCTTTGATACTACATTAAACCATACGTTCGGGGTGCAACAAAACAATAAATTTGTCATCTCTTAACATAATCGTTAATTCTTTGGGAATTGTACTTGGTTCATACCACAATGTATATTGACTTCAATTCGTTATCACATACCAAGGTAATACTAGTTAACTAAGGTCTTTGAAGTCTACTAAAATCAACCAATAAGGTCAAGATTCCTAATATGATATAATAAATTAGGTGACCTATATTGCGACGACTGAAAAAATAGTTAATCCAAATATTATTCGTTATCACACACCAAGGTAATCCAAATAGAAAAAGATTAACATGTACAGTACCTGTTAGTAAAAGATGATTATTACATTTGCAATATTACGACATTATAAAATATAACAAAATGAGAAAAATTCCGATCGAGCTTCTTGAACTTCCATGCATGAAGTAACTGCAGAAGGCAAAGTATTAGAGTGTGAATAGAAAAATAGCAATCACCTATATAAAAAAGGACGAATTACGTTGGAGTATATACTTGTTTATTTATGTTTGAAGTAATTATGATTGGAATGACGAAACCCTAAGCTAGTAGTTGTGTACTAATAAGAGGCAAAAATAGTAGTTGTAGTTTGAAAGATTCAGATCTAGCTTCAGATCTAGTGGATCTGGTTTGGGTTTTTATAAACAGACGGTTCTGAAACTGAATCACCCTCATCATTAATCATGACCATGAATAGATCTAGTCTCTAAATGCTAGCTAATTCGTACTGACATCATCATAAATAAGAAAACAAATCATTACAAAATCATAGCCAGAACAATAAAAAAAAAAATCCAGAAAAAGTTAGTAATGATGATAGACTTTTCTGTTTCTCACATGAGTCAGATCCCTTCATCATTACACCAATCTGTTGAACAAAGAAAAAGACAAACACAGTAGAAACTCAGAAGAACTTGAAGACCACACCACAAGAAAATAAAATACAAAAAGGGTGTTAAAGATCGAACCTTTTCCACATTGAATGGAATCAAAGATGGAAAACCCTAGATCAAAAGATGAAAGAATAAGAATGAGTTTTTTTTTTGGTTAATGAGGATTGAGAGGGAGCAATAATTGGGGGGAATGAAGCCTGGTCCGACGACGCTAAAACCCTAATCAATCTTTAGATCAAACAGATCTTAGAAAACGAGATTGAATTAGAATAAGAGTCCTCGAGCCAGACAACAGTCCCCTCAAAAAAAAGAAATCCCTCTTTTAAATCCTTTTCCTTCTTCGTACACAGACCCGTTTCGATTAGGGTTTTTCTATCAATTTCTTATTTTCTACATATTTTTCTCTGTGTTCGTCCCCCATCAGATCCGGCTGAGATCAAGGGAGAGAGATCAGAGGAGAGAGAGAGAGAGAGATGAATGTGGTGATGATGAAGAGAATGATGAGAGGGATAAGTAAAGAAGAGGTTTTTATCAAGAGAACGGACTCAAGAGGGTCAGTAGTGGAGAGAGAGCCCAAAGCTATACAAGACAAAATAAACATGGGTTCTGGGTGGATGGGTCCCGCAGCTATTTATTTGTGTATATACATACTTCCTTTTCTTTTTTGGTCAACAATGTAAAAAAAATATTCCAAGTTTCAAGATTTCAACGTAAACATTTGGATTTACTTTTTCAGACATGTCAATGGATATCTCATTTTACCATGGTATTTTACTTATTAAAGCAATTTTTTAATTAAAAAAACCTTAGTCCGAAGACTCCAAAACCCCATTACCCCTTCAGTTTTGTGCAGGCCCTATATATATTTAAGAATTCAATATTCTAATCCTTTTTTAACTTTTGTGAGGATTGACCAAATCAAAGGGTGAAAACAAGGAAGGTAATAATAATCCCTTAATCAGTGACCATGAAGAGGATACAAAGTAATGAGACGATCAAATCATAAGACTAGGAAAAATAGTTGAAAAAAATGGAAAGGAGATATCAAAAAGAGAAATGAGGGTTGTCTATAAAAGTTAGTCAGAGGAGTGGTTGGGTTATTGATCTGCCCAATATTACCATTCTTCATTTATTGTCTCTAACTTTTTCTTTCTTCTTTTTAGTTCTAAAATTAAATTTTCCATTTTTTTTATTTTTTTCTCCTTCACTTAAATTTTTTATTAAAGATAATAGATTATAAAAAAACTCTACACTTCGAATATGTCTTTATGTATGTTTTAGTACATGGTAAATCAAATATTCTGAAGGTGCTAATAATTAATAAGATTTAATCACCATGCTATTTAAGATATTCTAAGAAAGTTTAGCTTTTTGAGATTTTATCTTTCCATCACCATGCTGTAATTGCGACCTTATTTTAATTTAAATGATGTTCAACAAAAAAAAAAGAGATTTTATCATTCCTTTTAAAATATAAATCTATTATATAAAGACTCAGTTGAGTCTCACAAGCTTGACACATAAGGACTCCATCTTTTGACACATCAGCTTTTGAAAAAATTAATTTTCTCAATCCAAAAAAAAATTAATTCATCAACCATGACATAAATACAAAAGTAGTTTATATCTCGAAAAGTCATTCTCTTACAATAAAAAGGAAATGCATTGAACTTGTAATGTTACCACTTCGTAAAACACACCCAAGAAAATTGAACGATACTAAAATAAATTCAAAGAATCAAGAGCCATAATCATATGTTATTATAAAATCGAACAGCATTCCACCTATTTTTCAGCTTTCTCTTACACGCTCAAAGAATTCCAGAAATCAGATATAGTGCCACTGTAGTCACGTTCATAACCAACATTGAGAAAAAATTAAGGTCTTCAAATAACATATCCAAAATACAGATTTTTTTGTTACTTTTGTTTTAGTGATTGTGGCTTTTGGTGTTTCAGATCAGAAATGCGATCAAGTACATGGATATAATCACTCTACGTGTTTACGAGGAGGCAATGATAAC